ATATATATATATATATATATATCATATTTTCAGAATTATAAGCTGCTACTTTTTTCCCCACGCTTTGAACCAAGCGGCTTATAAAAAGGTTCAGCTTTTCTGTGGATTTTTCCAAACCGTCAGAGGGGGAAGTCAAAGTCTGAATTTAAAGAATAAGAGGCTTTTTTTCATTTATCACAAGAAAATGCCAGCAGCAGGCACAGCGAAGAATTTGACATTTATTTGCCGCATTAAAGCTGCCGAACCAATGAAGAGACTGGCCTCAACTCCTGCAGAGCTGAAATAAAGAGCCGATGAAGCCCCATCTTTCAGTAGAAGCTCTCACTGCTGCGAACCAACAAGCTAATGGGAGCTAGCATTCTTCTACGTTCCTAATCCAGGGGGGATATGTAGACCTCCCCCTACAGGTTTGGTGGGAGACAATTGAGTAGATACCAGCAGATTATAGCCCAATGCGGCTTATATATGTACCTTTCCAGTTTTTTCAAAAAATTTTGTGGGCACGGCTTATATTGTGAGGTGTATATCCAGAACACGTAATTTAAACAGATTTTCTCCCACTTCACCCACTGTAGCTAATGGCACCCTTCAGGTATTGGTCTTATTGCCATTGGTCTTTAGCTTCATTATGAAATCCAGATTACAGAACTTTATTGTCACATAAACGACTCTGAAATTATAGTTCTATTCAAAAATTTTGATTGTATGATACATTTTTAAGAAAACACTCTTTTGCAAGACATGCTTCAAAAGGAAACAAATAAATGTAGGTTAAACATGTTACTATGTTTGCTATGTATACCGGTAGTTCCTGCAAACAGTTATACAGCTCAAATGCTTACCTGCAGAACTCTGCGCACAGGTTCAGGAAACCCGACACCTCCTTTCCAGCAGGGCTCAGAGCTGTCAACTGGGAATGGATTACAGTCTAATAAACCGGGTAACACAACATATAGTGCCTGGACACAAACACAAACAGGTCAGGATATAAAGGTGATGTACATCTACCAAATTACTGCTTATTTCAGTCATAGTTTCTTCAAGAAAAAATATTAACCGGTTTATGACCAGTTCAGTTATTTTAGTACCTTGGTGATATAATAGACACACTGTTGGAAAGTGTACATGATCACTTCCTCCAAGATAGTCATTGCCTCCTCATTGGCAGTTATTGTCGCCGATAACAATGACTCCTTAGACCCTAGAAAGCAGGATGACAAGAGACAGAGGGACCCTTCAGAGTTTTACTATGAAAAAGAAAAGTAAAGCATACAGCTGTCTCATATCTGCTGATGAGTGGTGATGTCTGTTTGAGTGATGACTCCTCAGCCAGGCTGTTCCACACTCATCATTCAGGAGCTCAGGGTGTGTTGTGTTACCTTGCAGCGTCTCTATGCTGTGTGTGTAGGCCGGGGCTCTTTGCTGGATGAAGTAGAGGATCTCAATTGAATTTGACATCCAGAAGAAGATGGTCTGTAAGTCTGGGATCAGGTCTGAGATGCTGAGTAAAGACAAGGAGGCTGGGTCCTGACTACACACACGCAAGGCAACACATTACATCGTTATGGAGACACAGTGACACAAAAAACACAACAGCATACAAACAACACATTAGCACACATCATTTCTTTCTATGCAGCACAAGTCAGAAAGTGATACTCACTGCTGAGCTTGCTTCTGAGCCAGCTCCTTTGTCTTCTCCTGCAAGCAACACACACAAACAGACCAATTAAGTTCCCATTAAACTTTCAGGATCTGCGTAGGTGAACTACATTTCCTCTAAAGGCTTAGCTACTGTATGAGAAAACACCGCTGACATTTACAAAAGCCTTGGAAGACTCAGAATAAAACCCTTTCCTTGGTTTACATAGTTTTCTGTTTCATAAAACCTTCTAGGTCAAATGACAGCACTAGCTTTATTAGAACATAAACTACAGCCTTGCAGCTGCATGCCTGTAAGACACTTTAGATAGATTTAAACAAGATATGACAAGTATCACTATTCTCTGACCATAAATTTCAAAAGGTGTCACTATCTATTATAGTAATTTAACTTCTTAATGCACATTTTGCCTTTGAACAGCTTAGCGTGGATCCATTTATCAGTGGTGTCAAAAGTACACACATTTATTACTTAAGTAGAAGTATAGATAGTGCAGTTTAAAAACACTCTGGTAAAAGTGGAAGTATCAACTTGACCTCTTTACTCAAGTAAAAGTGAAAAAGTATGTGCTCCAAAAACTACTTCAAGTATAAAAGTATAAAGTAACCTTTTAAAAAAAACAGCCAGATGCCGCTATATTAATTGAAAGCTCAATTTTTCGACTATTTTTGAAAAATTCTTTGAGATAGGGCAAAGGATGAGGGAGGTCTTGTTGGTCTCCGTCTCCAGATAAAAATAAACGAGTAACATTTGTTTTAAAGATGTAAGGATTAGAAAGTACAGATACTTGTGTCAAAATGTAATGAGTAGAAGTCAGAAATAGGAGGAAAAATAAGTAATGGAGTAAAGTATAGATACCTAAAAAGTGTACTTAAGTACAGTAACGAAGTATTTGTACTTCGTTAATTGACACCTCTGCCATTTATTTGAAAAACAATTCTAAATAAATACAATTAAAATCTATCTAAAATGGCATTAAAAAAGTTCCCATGTCCAGACAAATGTGGTCAAAGCTGTCTTTTATTGTTCTGACTGCTTTGTTTCCTTTTGGACTCTACTTGAATCAAAATATCTACAGCAAATATTCTCTTAGGAAAATGTGAATCTTTTTGGAGAATTAGAATGGTCAAACTTCTGAATTTGCCTGAAAGACCATTAAACATACATCTAGACCAACTCAGATACCCAATGACCAGCATCTCATAACATTTGCTCTTCTTAATCGTATGCTAAAGTACAGGATTCAGGCCTGAATGAGTATGTGTAATCTAAATTGATGATTGTAACTTTACTTCTATCCCTGTAGTGAAGGGCGTCCCTCAGGGTTTGTGTTTAGAACCACTCAACTTGATCCACTATATAAGCAATACGTCACCTACATTAATTTAAACCCCTACACTGGTACAAGTTAAGCAGGCGCATAAGAAAACTTTAAGATTTCCTGGGACTAAGAGCTGTAACTGTGGCCCTATGCACAGCTACTGTCACACAGGCCATGTGTTGAAAGATGCAAGTTGTAAATATACATTATGGAATACAGCCATAAATCTAAAGTTATGTCAGCAATGTAATATTCTAATGCTGGTTTATTGAGTTCTGTTGAGCTTTTCTAAGCTGTGGTGACAGATGATACGAACTTCAACTATAAATACATGGTTAAGTGCAAGGCATTCTAGTGGCAGCTTGTAAATAATATGCAATTTACCCTCTCTAATCTGACCTTAATGATGGTGTAATAAGTTGCTTGGAAATGTTCATTTACTGTCTTAAAAGCTGTACTAAATGACATTTCGTACAAGTACAATGAGAGTAAAAGTAAAAGTCTGGATGGGCTTTTATGAACATGGGCCTCCAAACAAGAATCTTTTTAGAGACTTATAAAACCTTTGGACAGAACTGTACTGATGATGCAGTTATGTAGAGCTAAGCCTCCACAACCAAAGTGCCTCAGATTAGCTTGCAGTTAGACCTAAATGTTTTACAAATAAATGTTTTACACTACATATAATTTTAACTGTAAAGCAGTTATATCATGAAACTTTTAGTGTTGGATATCCAATTCACTTACTGTGAATCTGACAACATGCTCTAAAGAACTATGCTAAGGAACTGCTATATTTAATCCAAAAGGCTTTTTTGGGGCAACCGCATTTTCCTAGACATACATTTATTAAAAATGTTCAGGTTGTCTGGTGTCCTGTATGCCAAAGCCTGGAATAAATTAAATAAAATATGCGGCCTCACACAAGAAATTGCTTCAACAATGACCTCAAATGGAGGCTATGTTGAAAATTCTGAAAGGACACTTATATCATCTATAAATGTTTTACCTTACTACATTTGTTGAAAATAATGTAAACTCTTAATTTAAGTAGTTTTAATTACTAGCTCTCTATTGATATATATGCAAGTCTATTCAAAGTTCAAAATGTGTTGACTTTGTTCAGCTGTACATAGATGTAAAGTGAGAGACAAAGTTAGTATCACACAAATGATCACAGATTACTTACTTTAAATCATACAAGATGATTAGATAATCAAATTTAATTATATGGTTAAAATTATGTATTTACCTTTTAAAAGTTATGAACTACAAAATTAAGAATACTCAGAACCAAATATTAATGGCATGTATGTAAACATATGGATTTAAAGAAGGTAAAAAAAGGTAAATAATTTTGGCGGTCCAGGCAGGTCTATAACAGGAAAACGAAAGAGAAAAAAAAGATTGCTTTTAATACAGTTTATGTAAACACTTGGTTTTAGCTGTTTATGAATTTAAGAATTTCTGGGAAAAAACAAAAAAACAAAACAAAAAATAAGCTAACTAACTAATCTGCTTTGTGTATACAGATACTGTATCCTCATTGTAAACAGCTATTATGGAGACACCAGCTCTTTCAGCTATGAATAACAAGTCTGGTAAAACCTTAAAGTGACCCAGTAGTCGACTATTAAAACTTTATTTGTAAAAACTTGTCCTGTACTGCACAAATGTCCACAATGACACCAATTCCCCTAAAATGTGTTGTCAAATTGATGATCCACTAGAATGAAAGACTATTATTTAGTAACAAGGAGGGAATTTTGAAAGTGTTATCCTCTACACTAACTTGGTAAACAACAGATTATCTGTATCAGCTTATTATTGGATTGTATACAGTTTACCAAAAACAGGACTTTCAAATAAACATCAACACATTTACTAAACATGTTTAGTCGTCCTTTTTCATTTTTTTTTGTTCCATTTTCTCACATCTTAAAAGCACTCTGCATCATTTTACTAAATAAAACTAAATGAAAACTGCAAAACTCCCTAAAAATACAATGAGAGTCCCTCAGATAACCTGATAAGTTCACAAAAGCCATAGTTTGTTTTTTTGAAATCACATAAAGTCTGGTATGTCATTTCTTTTTATTTGTTGTAATTTTGCTTTAGGTTAATGCTGTATAAGCATTTTAAAAACACTGACCTCTACCTTTAAAAATTCAAGTTGAAATTTTAAAGGTATAGATTAATGCAAAACTGCAAAAATGGCTTTGTAATCAATAGCTAAAACCTAATTTGCCATTACAGCAGTTACATGGTCTCTGTAATTGGTTAGTAACCTGATGTAGGTCCTCACTTAGGTTTGAAAGACTCCAATAATTTCTATAAGTCAATATACAAGCCTGTCTCATTATTCTAGTTCTGATGTAAAATTGGCCTCTTGCCAATTTCATTGCTTGTGCTGGTTCTGAGTGCAGGCAAGACTTAAAGGTATAGTGGAGGATTTTCGTAAATTTTTGAAAAGACCTGCCCTTTTCACTTACAAAAAAAAAAAAAAGTACATGCATAACCCTGTACCCACTCCCGAGAGGCATCGCTTTTTAAACACGTGTGAAAGCATTCAGGAGCCCATTTCTCCTCGTGCACGCTCTGTTGAAAAGTTGATGTTTGCATCAATCATACAAGCTTACTTTCCAAAAGAAGATTTGCAATTTTTCCACTATGTCAGACTCACCACCGGTAAGTAAAAATGCCCTAATGTTGATGATAAACATATCATCAGAATGATTGAGCATGAGGAGGACCGCTTATTTCTATGGTCCACCTGGAAAAAGAACATCCTCCACTATACATTTAAACCAGAGTAAACAACAATTACATTAAGTAAAATTGCCTAGGCACAAATAAAAACCATAAGCTCAGAGGAGACTAATTATAACAATTATGCTGCTAAGACAGGTTTCCACAGGGAATTATGGTAAAAGTTACTGTAACCTCTCTAGAAGTTCTGATCTTAAATGCCTAACCCTTACTCTAAGAAGATACAATAGAACATCTAAATGTTAACACCGACCCATGCGATGGTTTGGATTCGACGGACAATCTTGAGTAGCAGTTTGCCAAAACTGCCCGGAGGGAAGGTTGAGGCAGAGTGTTGGATACACAGACACAGCAGGTAGGCAGGCGTCAGCTTATGGTCGTCTCCTAAGAAAAGAAAAAGGAGGCTGAATTTCAAACTAATGATTTAAGAAAACTGTTCTCGTCTTTTCATTTTAGGGTGCTTATCTAATCTTATTCTACATCTTACAGTGTTTGAAACAAAACAGTTTCAAATCAGGCGGTTGTAGCAGAATGGACATAACATATGACCATTGGAAAACCAAGCAAAGCTAATTCTGAAATGGTAGAATAACCCAAGCAGTTGTCGCAAAGGAAGAAAGACCTCAGGCCGGGAATCGATCCCGGCAAATACCATTTAAATCTTAATGTTTTAATACACGTGTCGCCTTCCTCAATACAAATAAGACCATATAGTTGATGAAATTGGAATTATAAAAAAAATGTAATTGTCATGTATGAGGACAAATATTACAAGATGTCTGCCATTTTAAGTATATATATATATATATATATATATATATATATATATATATATAAAAGACAGGGACCAAGGTGACACTAGTACAATATTCTGTAGCTTCCTTTGCTGGAGCCTCTTTAGCCTGAAACATGATTAAATGTAGTAAAATCCGAGTGGTGCTTGTCATTTGCTGCAGGATAGAAAACTGAGCAGGATTAGACACTCAGATAAATAAACTGAGTTAAATCAGGTTATTGTGTTTAAAGGGGTCATAGAATGCAAAACCACATTTACCTTGTCATAGATAAATAACGATAGTTCAGTGGGTGAAATAGACGTACAGAGAAGTTCAAACCGCATCGGCACCTCCTTTCTCTGAATATCTCACAATTCTAAACTTTAACAATAAAACTGGCAAATTCAAGCGAAGCCCCTAGTTGACGTTTAACTCGGAGATGTGGCCTTAATTGGTTATGGCCGGTAATGTTGTCACGCCCTAGGGGGGCGGTTATGAAGTGTCGACTGCTGAGCCGCTGAATGGACCGGACCTCAGCAGAGACCCATGAGCCGCCCTTCTTCAGCTGGAGGAGGGGGGCTGGGGGCCGGTAAGGACGGCAAGGGGAAGCACGGGGCTGCCGGTGTCCAGGCTACCGTCACCGGGTCGGTTTCGGTCACCCCGTCCCCCCGTTGGCTCCCTGCCACCATCCGCCGGGGTTCCCTGACTAGCCCCGGAGCTCACGACTCGGTTCTGCCGCACTGCAATCGACCAAAATCCCGGACAATTTTGAAATTCCCACGGACATTTTTTTAGACATGAAAAGTAGGACATGTCTGGGAAAAGGAGGATGTCTGGTTACCCTACCATATCAACAATTTCAACAATTTTCAGTGAGTGCTTGTTGCCATGATGCGTCTTTGCTCAGCAGCTTTGCTCGTTTTAAACCAACCAATCAGCGCACAGCTCATCTAAATATTTATGATCATACCATAAAAGGAAGAAAACCTGTTGTTTCAATTTAGGGCTCTTCACCAAACTTGCATTAGGGCTCATAGAACAGCAAAAATGCAATTTTCAGCCCAACCAATGTTACACACCCTATTCAGAGACCCTAAGGATCCACACCAAATACCCTATATAATAATTCTATGAACCCTTTAAATAAAGCTTTAACCAAAACTCCTCAATTTAACATTTTCCCCATATTTTTTTCATGAAATTTTAAACATTTCTCATAAACAAACTTAAAAGTTGTAACATGACAAAGAACATTAAACGATAGTTTTTTCTAAATTAAACAAGACACACATGAGGGAGAACATCTCAAACACAAGGAATGAAGATGGTAATGTTATTGACATGTTAGAAATATAGTTAGCTCAAGAGATTTTTCCAAAACCTTTACAGATCATTTACCTTTTATAAATGAGGAAATGTGTCTAAATTACTTTTTTTTTTAAGAAGCAAATTTCTAAAGATTTTTTCCAGGTAAAAAATAAGGAATTAGTTCTTAAAAAGCAAAAAGCTTAAAGCAAAATGTTCAAATATAACTAAAACCCAGAAGAACTGTTGATAAAAAAAGAAAAAGGAAATTTGAACAAACTATGGTGCCATTATTGTTTGAATGGATTTTTAATAATGTTAGAAAATTTGTTGAATGCAGCGGATCTAAGAAAATATATAAAAAACATTTTCACAGATCATGTCCCTACATTATTTAAACCAACATGTTAATAACACATAAAAGAGATCATAACATCATTCCAGCTAATTACATTATAGATATAATTCTTATGGCAGATAAGAATAAAGACACAGACCTCCGGGTTCAATGAGAGAGACGATTCTGTTCAACAGCTGGTCCTCATGAGCTTGATCAAACTCCAGCTGCAGCTTTCTTTTTTGACCTCCTCCGCCTCGTCCTGCCATTTCACCTCCTGACAAAGCCAACGGGGCACCTGATGCCATCCCTACACCACGAGGTTTCACCAGGTGTGGTTTAAAGCTGCGTCTGACTGCCGGGACACTTAGCACCTGTGCAGCTTTGTCCTTCAGCACCGAGCCACACATTTTACAAGTCTGAGTCCCATCCTCCCCCTCTTCTACCCCTGAGTCATAAAGCTGCCCCAGTGTACGTAGCCGCGCCAACGTCTGAGCAGGCAGGGGCTTGGCACCTGTGGGGTCCTTGTACAGGAAGATATAATGTGCTCCAAAGGAGAGAAGGTCGCCGTGTCGCAGAGTCGTTGTTCGCTCGCAGCGGGAAAAGTTCACCAGAACAGTGGCACTGAGCACAGGCTCAACAGCAACACAGAAACGCTGACTCTCTGCCAAATCATCTGCCTTATTGTTGGTATGGCGACGGGGTGCGGGGACTCGGCGCAAGCGGCAGTGGAGGGGAAGGATGTCAGGAGAGAAGAGGCAGATGTTTGGGCGAGCTGATGGGGTTTCCTGACCAACTGTGTGCTGCTCCCTGTTCAGGAGGTAAACCAGGCAGTCCTGGAAAACACATAGAAATGTTACCGTTTACGATAATTTAACCCAAAGAGGAATAAAAAAACATTCAACACTTTGTAACATTATAACCCCAAACCTGTTTTCTAAACATGCGCTAGTCAGGATTTTGGGAGCCGAGCACTGATCAAAAAATCAGTATCTGCCGATCACAACATCAAGTCCATAAAGTCTTCAAACTGCTGTCTCAGGTACATTGACATTGTTTAATTAGGTTTCAAAATTATAGGAGATGAGAAAGTATCATTTTCAAGTTTGAAGACGCTTCACTTCCCATCCGGGAAGCTTTTTCAATTCAAAATGTCAGGAATAGCGTTGAGTTCGAGGTTTTATACAGTAGCCCAACAAAGCCTTGTTTTTGTGTTGAAAACATGCAAATTGGAACAGATGAAGGGGTCCAACCCTTTGGAATTGGGGTCGTTTGGCTTCTTTTGTTAGACTGCAATATCCCATACCCATCTAAGTGTCTTAAATGTTCATTAAAGGGGATTGCTGGATTGGCTGAATAGACGAGGTCCTCCACTATCATGTACAGGAGTTGGGGCTGTGATGATAACGGGAAGGGATTAACTCAATAGCTGCATTATAAGTTTTTGAAAGCTGACACCTGAGTCCACCCCCCCTGTTTAAGGTTGGTTTTTCTTTCTTAACATAGATGGCTTCCTTCACAGCCCTTTCAAAACCAGCTATTTTCTTTATCCAGAATGTAAACATTCTGGTCTGCAAAAGAATGTCCTTTGTCCATAAGGTGTAGATGTACTGCAGAGTCTTGTCCAGAGGAGGCCGCTCTTCTGTGTTAGGCCATGCGTTTGTGGAGAGCTTGTTTGGTTTCTCCTATATAAAGATCAGAGCATTCCTCACTGCATTGAACTGCATACACCACTCGGCTCAAATTTGATTTTCTGTACTAGCATGCGTTTTTTTCCCTCCTATTTGCACCCACTACTTTGAGGAGCAAATGTGAGTAAAACACTTGCTTTGTACAGCTCTGTTAGAGGATTTTAGGTGGCTTTTAAAAAAGCCATTTTAATTTAGCCCCAGAAGGACTGTTTCATAGTCCTACCTTCAGCGTAGAAACAGCAGTTGCCTTCTCTCCCTGCTCCACCATGCTATCTACCTGTAGGCCCCTCTGATCCCCCCTCGTCATTCTTCCATCTCTAGCAGTTAGCTTCTAGTGATTAGCCTCGGCTAGCCATAGCCTCTTGCTGCTCATTCTCCCTGGCTTATCCAAAGCACTGCTCTCTGGCTCTAGGTCAGCAGTAGCCTCTTCCCTACTCTCATTGGTCTGTTTCCTCCACAGACGTTTTCAATCTCACGCCGTGCTCCTTGGATCCTCCAAATTTAGTCAAGCTAGCCTCGGTCAGGTGTAGTTTCACCCTGGCACTATTTCTTAGCCAAACTTCTGCTGTGCTCCTCTGCTTTCCTCTTGAGCTGCTTTATCTCCCCGCTCCAGTGCACAGTCTTCGCAGTGGACTCCTCCAATCTACTGCTGGGGTTCCTATGCTCCAGAAGGGCTGGCTGCCAGTTATGGTGCTCTCTCTCTCCCGCTATCCTCCCACTGATTCCCCATTGCTTCTGTCTAAGGTCAAAGCACTGTTTCCCCTTACCTCTGTTGTCCAGGTAATTTGTCCCCCTGTTTTGGACACTCTCACTAAAACAAACATGGACCAAGCGCAGGATAAAGATGCTAGACTGCTCAGAAATAAAGACTCAACAATGCAATGAACGGCACTTAAAATCCATGGTCTCCATAATGACTCGCCGGTCGTGTTTATTCAAGTCAAAATCGGTCGATTACAGAACACTACCAATTGACCAGCACATGTCTACTGTATTCTCTTCAATTTTGTTTATAACAGACTAACCGAAAGCAGATAAATATGAAGTGGAAGGAAAACAATAAAGTTCCAAACCATTAAAAAGCGTATTTTAGTCCTTTTTTTACTTTGATATTCCTCACTACACTCTAGAGTATCATATTCACTACATTTGTAAACAGAGTCGACCTGGCAAGTAACATCAGTTCAGTGTAAATTCAGCTGTTTTTGTGAAGAGCTCAGAAGTTAGTAAGAGAACATTAGTCAACAAACAGCATAATGAGGACCAAGAAACATTCAAGACGCACCAGGGGTTATCTTGAGGACAAGTTTTTAACTGGGTTTGGTCAATAAACAATCAAACAACACACTCGGAACGCTGCAGAGTCAATTATCCATAAGTTTCAAAAAGCCCTCAGATCTCTGGAGATGCTGCAGAAACTCACATTTCAGAGGGGCGACTCTGTTGCCATGAAAGGGATTTAAAAGAGACTCCACCAATCAAGTCTTTAAGAAAGAGGGGCAAAAAGACAGCTACTTTTGGTAGAATGCCCTGTTAGCAGTTTATCATGAGCCATGTAGGTAAAAACCAGTAACCATGTGAAAGAAGGTGGTCAAATCAGACTGAAATTTAACTTTTTGCTCTACATGCAAAAGACAACTGCGCATCACCCTGAACTCAACTTCCAAACTATGAAACATCATAGGAGCAGATACAGTTGATTAGAGTTTGTTGTAAGATGAATGGAGTTAAATACAACATCATCCTGTAAGGTGGAAGCTTAAAGGAAAACCTTCAAGATGCAGCTAAAATCTTTAGACGTAGCTGATGTAGTTATATTTATAATAGAATGGTTTTGATCAAACAATATTCATGTATAATTAAGAAGGGTCAATCAAACTCAAAAGCTATACAAAGACTGATGCTTACAGATGCTGCCCAGACTAAGCTTGAATAAGTTTGCAAAGAACAAGAAAAAATGTTCTCCAAAGAAAATCAAAGCTGGTAGATGCATACTCCACAAGACTGAAAGCTGAAATAGCAGCATATATGTATTTCTGCAATATGTTGACTTATAGAAAAGTATGTCTCATTCCTTTGACTTCAAACCATGGACTACTTTGTTTTGATCTATAGCAGAAAATCCCCATGAATTACACTGAAGTGTGTGGTTAAAATGTGACCAAATGGAGAAAAAAGTTCAGGGTGACTAAGGTCATTCTGAAGGAATAAACATATTTTTGAAACCCTTACCTGCTGATTGAATCCCTGTAGCAGAAGAAGGTGGGGGGACTGATACAGAGAGTGCCTCACACCTCCTCCTCCCTGACTCCCTTCTTCCTTCCTTCGGTTGCTGGAGGGCCCGTCACGTTCTCTGCCTCTAAATGGTCCAGGTAAGGTGGAATAATATCGCTTGGGCTCATCTCCCACTCCAAGCTGTACATGCCAAGAAACATGCTTGATTAAAAAGCACAGCCCCTGGAAAACAAACAATTAACCTTTCAAATTGGGTGTGGGGAGGACCCACCTGATTAAGGCTTGTTTCGCTGAGGCTGCGACACAGTGAGGAATTGCTGGAGCGGGGCAGGGTCAGCGTCCCCTTTGCCCTGTTCCTCTGGAGCTTACGAGCCTGGGCATTAATATCTATGAGGATGCAGAGAGGAATAACAAGTGTTACAGCAAGGAGGGAGATAGGAAGGACAAGAGAGGGAACAGGTAGAAAAACAAGTGAAAGGACACAAAGGGATGGAAAAAAGGGCAAAAAAAGAAGCTTACTTTTAATTGGCATATGTTTTGTTGACATATATGCTTGACACATGGATGAGCAGAGTTGATTTAAAATAATTTATCTGGGAATAGCAGTACATAACATTTATCTTTGAAGCAAGTAGAAAATATATGTCCCAGAATGGGTGAATAAATGGGAAACAATGAAGCAGTAAACAGGCTGAAACCAGTCAGGATTGTGAAGGTGAACAACTCCCTGTGAAACCAATACAACAAATCTAAGGCCATGCAATGTCTCTCACACACATTCTCACATACTCTACACCACTGAAGTATGGGGGGTGACAACGCAGGTAGAGGTAGGCTTTATGGAAATGATTGACAGCCACCCTACCTGAGGCCAGTCCCCACCTTTAGAGCTGGACTGTACCACCCGACCAGACCGCAGGGGGGAGCTCCTGTGTTTGCCCAGCCCAGACCGACCCATTAGAGCTGCCAAGAACTGAGGGGTTCTGGGCCCTACAGCAGGGTTGGAGGGGTTAGGAGGAAAGTGGGGGGCTGAGAAAACAACCCGCCACCCAAACACCAAAAACAGAATTCTCCTCCACACACACACAAACCTTTCACTCAGCACACATCACGAGACGTACATGCACTGTGAAGTTAGACATATACTGTAAGCAGTTAGTATAGAAAGATGCACAGTTTGAGGTGCAACTGGATTTTCCTATTTCAATGTGCCAGTACTAACGTAGATGCCAAATTTGTGAAAGTAAAACAAAAAGAAAGATATTAAAATGTAGTTATTGGTGCCAATTAATCTAAAAGTGTGACGAGTCCGAGGAACCTTTCCTGGTTCCTTTCTTTTACAAAATTGCAGTCTATATAATTAAGCTTCTTGTCAGAAATATTTTTGACAGCCCACTGCCTAAATCACTTGTCTCTGGAACTCAGCTTTGGTACATTTCCTTTTTTAGAGGTGTATTCTCAGCTGGTCCTGACCTTCTAAGGGTCTTTTTCGGATTTGCAATGTCTGTTAAGGGTTAAAAAGCCTTTAAATTGTTAGCTGATTGGTTGAAAACCTACATTTTACCTGGTGTGTGGTTAGGTTAGGATCTGGCTATGGTTATACAACTGCAACTCTGAATGCCCTAAAAATGAAGTTCAAGCTGAATTATGCAAATTTTTTTCTTACTGATTTTGCTCAAGTTTTTGATCATTTGAATCACATGATTAGGCCTCAGTGAGGGAGATGTTCCAAGCAAGTCTGCAGTATGAGAGGCAGACTGCCCAGAAGGCCCAGGGGATGACCCAGGACAAGCAGAAGGACTATGTCTCTCAGAGGGCCTGGGAGTGCCTCTATCCCCAGGGGAGCTGGAGGAGGAGTCTGGGGAGAGGAAAGTCTGGGACCTCAAGTGAGACTGCTGCCCTCATAACCCGGTCCTGGATAAAACGGTAGACGATGATGTCCAATTCCGATATCTCCAAACTGCATCTAGACTTATAGAACCTCAAGGCCAAAATCATAGGGTTTGGTAAAGAGGGTGCATGCCATAGAAAAACTCAAAGTGAATTAACAGTTAATGATACGCTAATTCTTTCCAACTCATTTAAGTGCAACCGCCGGTTACCCTGAAAGTTGTCAATCTTATACTTAAAGTAGACTAATACTAGGTCTTTTAATGAGCCTTAGAGTTATGGAAACAGTGTTTTTAAATACTTTTGCCACCTCCTTTGCATTTAAACATGCTAAAAGACTTATAAGAGGGGGAACTCTGCGCCCCTAAGACTCTGACATCTACTTAAACTCACTCTTGAAGTCGGAGTTGGGCACATGCAAATCTCTCCGCTTTAGCAGCCAGACAGCAACCTTTAAAGGCAGGAGTGGAGTGACCAGATTTGGATTAATTCCCAAATGGTTGGTCTGTCAAGCTAAACTCGCTGATGGGCAGATTACTTTTTTCTACCCCCCCTCCCCCCCAAAAGCATGCAGCATCATTGCTGTGTCAGTGCCTCCCAACACGGAGAGAAGATAGAAAGTAACAGGAGTGGGCTTAGTTAGCAGAGGTAAAACATATACTAGATATGGACGCGGTGGAGAATAAAAATCTCTTTGAATGGTTTAAGCTGCCATCCCCCCTTCAAATGAAAACAAATAAAAATTGAATTAATGAATTCCATATTTCACTTAATTTCTAATCTAAATTTGATATTTGAAAAAGTACCATACAGAAGGGTTTAAATTTCATGTCAACAAGCCCCTAGAAGTTCACCAAGGACCTGCAAGGTTATAAATGACTTCTATTAATGCGCAAACAGCATTTTCAGCAATGCAATCACAAGTAGATCGGAAATTAAAAGGATTCACAGACGATCTGCTCAGCAAACAACAGTACATGTGTGAGCATCATATTGGCACAAAATAACATTCTAAGAGCATAATCAAAGCATAATTCAAGTTGGCCGTGAAAATCCTACAGTACCTTCAAACTGTGATCTCATTTGCTAAAGGGTATGTGAGAATAGACAGAAATCACACAGAAACGTGCACGCTCACACATACACCAGAGAAGAAAAACAAAAGACAAACACTGTTAACGTAACAAGAAACACAGTCCAGGCCGGTGAGTTTTCTAAATACTAAGCAGAGAAAAGGTTAGTGGGAAATAAAAAACATCTTAAATGTGATAACTTAAGTTTTATCAGAAAAAGCAATCTTTGCTATTAGAATTCATTCATTTATTTTTTATTTTTCCGAATTAAAAAGAAAAGAGAAATCTAAGTCACATTTCAGTGTCTGAACAGTCTGAGAACAAAGAATGCTTTTATGTGATAAAACTGAAAAAAAGACACATTTCAATGAATTCAACAACATACTAACAACTACAGCATCCACTATAACAACTAAAACTTGTCCGCTGTATTTTCTATTAGAAAAAAAGGGAAAAGAAATTAAAGAAGGAAATACTGTGATTCACTAAACTATCAGAAAAGGGCAGAAAAAAAAATCTATGAATGATAAGAAAAAAAAAGATACAAGAAATCATTTTTACATACTTGTATGATTGACTATAACCAGCTACACCTAGCAGAGTTTGCAGCGATCACTTCTTAAAGTAAACCACCTGCCATTGCTCTGGATTCCAGGTCGTACTGCAACTTTCAGTGACGAACAGGTCAGCACAGGGCAGACTGATCTACTGCTTTGCAGTGAAATATGCAACAAGCTAGAATAAACTTGTATATCTGTCACATTTATATCAGAACCAATACTTACTCCTTAACAATTTAATGGTTTGAACTACATGAGCCATCGTTCACTGTTAAAACCCCATGCCTAGCAGTGAGACTGTAACCACCATTGTTCCTTGCCTGGACCCTTATTAACAGATACTGACCACGGCAGACTGGAAATATCCTGCACCAGCTGCACCTTTGGAGATGCTCTGTACTTGGTGTCTGGCCATTATAATTGCCAGACTCCTAATGCCTAACTATTTTCAGTGCTTCTACCACACATCAAAGTTAGGGGAAAATGTTTACTTGCCTCATAACACACAGGTGCTACAGTGAGGAATAAGTAAAAAAGTATTTGAATACCCTGCTATTTTGCAAGTTCTCCTACATAGAAATCATGGATTGTCATCATAGGTGCATGTCCTTTGTGAGAGACATAATGTAAAAAAAAAAAAAAAAACACAAATCATCCACAAATCACAAAATATGCATTGACAGCCCAGAAACTTGACTGATCAAGAGAATATCTGTGTGGATGGGTGGGCCATTTGACCTCTCTAATTGCAAACAAAGGCTACTTTACCACATATCAACAGTGATTATCTCAGGTGTTCAAATACTTGCTTGCAGCTGTATCATTGAATTATTTTTTTTTTTTTACATTAAGTCTCTCACAAAGGACATGCACCTACAGTGACCATTTCAGACCCCTCCATGATTTCAAAGTGGGAGAACTTGGAAAAAAGCAGGGTGTTCAAATATTTATTTTACTCACTGTATATGGAAGTAGATCAGGTTAATGTTCCTCATCTGTCAGCTTATTAATGCTATCTCTGATCAATGTATCTGGCTAGTTGGCTTAACTTCTACAATATTTATGTGGTAATAGATGTTAATTTTAGCTGCCAAGATGCTAAAGCTACTAGAGCAATAACGGTGTATTGATGGAAAAGAAATACTGGAGGAAGAAAAAGAAACATGGTTTATCGAAAAAACAAAAACTATTTCAATAATCCGAGTCTTCCTGGTGGTAAGCGGTTTTAGTTTTTGTCTCCATGAGTCTGATTCCTGTTCCTCAAAAAAAGGGTTCTTTTATTTGACCCAGCAAAGAGTTGGTGCTGACATAGTATCAGTGCTACAGCTGAAACAGGGAGGAAATGTGCCAAGAAAGCACCAGTACTGGGACTAGCTTGGTAGATCCAGAATCTATGAATGAACAAAAAACTTTCTGTGCTCATAGAATAAATGAAACACTTGTAAAGTAGAACATAATAAAAAAAAGAAACTGCCATCAAACATCATAAAATTAGTGGAGTTGTAATGAGAATTGTAAACATGAATATATTTTACTCCAGTTCTGACATTAAACAGAGCTGTAGGAAATGTTTATATCTTTAGAGAGAGAATCTGCAAAGTAAGGTTGGACACTTTAAAATAATGCCTTTATTGCTTATGTGGTGTTCAGAGGAATGAGTGTGCTGTGATACACAACACTGAAGGCAGCATTCAGGTCGAAAAGCACCACAGCAGCCAAGTTCCTCGAGTCAGCAGTTAAAAGAAGGTCATTAAAAAAAAAAAAAAACTTAAAATAAAGCTGAGTCACAACAATAAAAATTGTTTAGAATCAAACTATCCTTTCACAGATGCCATTTTCAAATAAAATGCAAAAAAAAAAAAAAAAAAAAAAAAAGAGAAAAACAAAGTGTGTTATTATAGATATTATGATGAAAGGTGACTTTTACAATTAAATTGAGGGTTGTTTCTGAAGATAAAAAGTCTTCATGGAGAACTGCTCCATCATTCAGAAGTAGAAAAAAAACTTAAGGTTGAAAAGTTAATCTAAGTGGCGAAAGGTCAAACTCCAGGTTCATTGTTCCATTTTTAAAGAGAGACTCTACAGATACAACTTACAACTTAGAAATGAAAGATAATCTTTCTTCTCTAAGATCATTAGCAAAAACATTAACTCTGCTTTGCTTTACATGTGGATCGGGAAGTCTGGACATCCTCGTGACCCGGCTGCAGATAAATGGAAGGAAATGGATGGATGGATGCTTTACTTGCCCAGGTTCACAAGTTAACAATATCTGTAGCATCTAAACTTCACTTTAGCAAGGCCTGCGGCAATTCGCTTTATTATTTAGCGAATTATTGAATATTCGCTTATTATTAAAAAACAACCAGAAAACAGATTAAGAGTCTGATTAGAGTGTGTACACCCGTGTCAAGTCCAGAACAAAAGTTATCTCCAATCCTCGCATCAACTAAGCACTTCCGTCTGC